CTTTCCCTAAAACTCCCATACATGAGACGTACCAGCCGAGGTGGGATTACTGGGGCAGGTTTATGGAGAAGCTCCTTTCTAAAGTTCCTATAATGGTGGTTGAAGGGAATCATGAGATAGAACCGCAAGTTGAGAACAATACATTTGCAGCTTACAGCTCCAGATTCGCTTTCCCTTCCAAAGAAAGTGGATCGTCTTCTACTCTCTACTATTCTTTCAATGCCGGCGGGATACACTTTGTCATGCTCGGAGCCTACATATCTTATGACAAATCATGTAATACATTCAGTTGTCATTTTGTTGTTTTACTTCTGCTTCTTACCCGATTTCGTGTCTTCCTTCCTGTTTGTGTAAACTTTCATGCAACTAAGCTGGCAAAGGATGTCTCTTTTTTTGCAGCGGAACAGTACGAATGGCTAAAGAGGGGCTTAGCTAAAGTTGACAGATCTCTAACTCCATGGTTGGTAGTCACTTGGCATCCTCCTTGGTATAGCACTTATGGAGCACATTACAGGGAAGCCGAATGCATGAGAGTGGCAATGGAGGAGTTACTTTACACTTATGGTACCGACATAGTCTTCAATGGACATGTACGACCAAAAAACGGAGTGCCTATTTTCTGAAATCCTCTTCGCCCGCTCTGGCTTGATGTGCATTGATCCCTTTTTTTTCCCCTGTGATTCTTCCCAGGTTCATGCTTATGAAAGATCGAACCGAGTATACAGTTATGAACTAGACCCGTGTGGCCCTGTTTACATTGTTGCCGGTGATGGAGGTAATCGTGAAAAGATGGCAACTATACACGCGGATGAACCCGGTAAATGTCCCAATCCATCAACCACGCCTGACCCTTTCATGGGCGGCTTTTGCGCATGGAACTTCACATCAGGTCCTGCCGCTGGAAAGTTTTGTTGGGATCGTCAGCCGGATTATAGTGCCTTCCGAGAGAGCAGTTTTGGCCACGGGATCCTGGAGGTAGGCATAAAAACTCGGGTATTTTTCTCAAAACCTCAAAAAGCAAGTATATTGATCTAACAAAGCTTACCATTGTTGCAAATGGCAGGTGAAGAATGAAACATGGGCCCTCTGGACATGGTACCGGAATCAAGATTCGAGCAGTGTAGTCGGGGATCAAATATACATAGTGAGACAGCCCGATCGCTGTCCTGGCCACAACCGCCTGGTGGACCGCTGCTAGGGAACTACCTCACATCATGAAAAGGATCACAACACGAACACGGTTACACGGATATGAAAACATCGTCACTACCTCAGATCATGCAAAAAGTTTGAAGCTTTATAAAGTATGTTATGCCTTACACATGAAAGTTGGCAACTTTTGTCTACACTGTGTGGAATGTGATGTAATAACTATTGATAATCTCAAGGGAAGAGGTTCAAAATTGTTGGGTACATCCCGTAAACTTGTAAATCACGAAAAAAAAAGCTAAAAAATCTCAAGAAACTCGATGACGAAGGTACTGCAGACAGGGCAGTGACCTTCCTGAACAAGAAGCTCCTTAGAACAGAGCTTGCAGAAAGTATGGCCGCAAGGTATGAAAGCAGCGCCTTTGATCTTGACCGAACAGACGCAGCAATTGAATTCTCCTTCGTCTTCTTCTCTGTTTTCGTCGTCCTCATCATACTCATCTCCATCCTCCTCGTCGTAATCGTCGTCGTCCATGGCGTATCTGGATCCAGTCAAACCCATTTGCCGATCCGTTTCCTCCAGCAGATCCATCAGCGACATCGTCCCCGGCTTGCCATCCGCCGCCGAATTCTCCCCTGTTTCTTCCTCGTCGTCGGAATCTTCTGCTGCGGCGGCTGCTTCTGCCTCCGACGCCTCCTGCGCCGCCACAGCATCCCTCGCCGACATCGTCCGCTCCTCCACGAACTTCACGACCGGTTGTCGGCGCGTGTTCTCTTCCTGTCCTTCTCCATGGTCGCGGACCGAGTCGTGCCGCGACAACTGCGGCCTGAAACTCCTGGACGGCGGTCCGTCTCCGGGCATGGTCGCGTTAGCGTAATTCTCGGCGTTCTTCGCCGACCCGACCCGCATCGATGACCCGCGGGTGAACATAGCGCGTCCCGAAGAGCCCGGTGGATCCGACATCGGAACGGTGGAGATCAGATCCGACAGGTGAATCGACGAGTTGTCGTTGTCGGAGAGTGATCGGTGAGAAAACCGCTGGTTTTTGCGGTGGTGTTTGGATTCAGTGATAACGATATCCGCGAAAGGGATATAAGGAGACGAGGACCAAGCAGCACCGGCGCGTTTCAAACGCAGTTTCTCACGGAACGTCTTCCACGTCGTCCTATCCTTGTTTTCCCCTTCGAGTTGTTCCTCACGTATGATGTCTAGAAGCGTTTTACGAGCACGTTGCGTTTCGAGAGGTCGCGATTGCGTCTGCAGTGGCGTTGCGATTTTGCCGCTAAGAACAGCGTCTAACGTTAGGCCGGCGAGCGAGTTACTCCGGGTCTTTGACGCCGACATTTAACCGGACGACGTTTCCCACCGCCTGTCTCCACCATCGGAAGAAAAAAAAAACTTTTTTTGGCATAAAACTGGGAAAAAAATAGAATTAGAAAAAGAGACAGAGATCAAACAGTTACCTCTTGCATCGAGTTCAGAGAGAAAAGAACATGTTTTTACAGTTAATTCAGTTGTAGAAGTTGTGGTTTTTGTGTTTTCTGATACAAAAGGAAATTCAAGATCGTGTTTCGATGGAGGAAAAGCCAAATGTGTTTGGATTGGAGAATAAAAGAGAAATTAGGAGCGAGTCTTAAGGCGGAAGCTTAAATTAACGGTGTTTTCATGTTTTGGTTCCCCACCGACCATTTAAAAAAAAAAAAAAACTGGACTTGTTTTTTTCTTTCTTTCTTTCATAACAGACTCTGTATTAACAGTCTTGATGCCAGTTGAGGTTAAGCAAAAGTAGCAGGAAAGCCCATCGCCTTCGTTTTCCCTGAAGGAATCTTTTAATTATTTGTTAGGGGTCGGGAATCTGTTCCCAAACCATGTTGAACCCATGAAATGAATTTCGGTACGATTTTTGTTTATTACTTAAAATCGAACGATACAAAAGAATAACAGATCGGTTTAAGGTTCGGTTTTGTTTTGATGGCGATTGCGATGTAGTTTGGCGACATTTAGTCTATTTCTTTTTTTTTAAATGTTTTTTTCTTTATTTTTATTCGAAGATTTACGAATCTGTTAAGGGCTGTACCAATTTGTTGACATCGAGCTAAAAAAATGAAATTTGAAACAATTGAAGTGATTGTTTCAGTTTGAATATAAACAAACCAAATAAGTCAATATGTCCGAGTGGTTAAGGAGACAGACTTGAAATCTGTTGGGCTTCGCCCGCGCAGGTTCGAACCCTGCTGTTGACGATTCTTTTTTTTTTCCCGCTAATAAAATGGGCCTTTTGACTTTTTGGGCTTTTTCATCTGAATTGAAAAGGGCCCACCAGCTGTATCATCGGTGGATGATGATTGGTTCATTTGCAAGTCTTCGTTTAGTTTAGTAGGTCTGCTCTCAGAGCGTGTAACGCTCGTACAAATGGAATGGAATAATGTCAAGTACTCAAGACGTCCACGTTTTGCTTCTATATTTTAGGAGCAAACTTTTTTTTTTTTCATTTTTTGTAGAAAGTGTATCAAGAAACCATTAACAAAATTATACAATCATTCGAAATCAACCTAAAACAACTCATAGATCCAAAGTAGGATTTCACGTAATACTAAACATTAACATATATTTTGGAGTCGAGAGAGAAGCAAGAAAATTCCGATAAGAAATTCATAGACTTGGTTCCACAAAGGCGGCAGAAATTGGACAAGCATTGGAGTCCCATACAAAATCTGGTATAGCAAAATTTCATGAAACATAAGCAAAAACACAATCTACTGAATAAAGAAACACAAGAGTAGCTTTCTCTTTCAGTACTTGACGGGAGCGAGGACATCGAGTTGAGAGCCAAGCTTCTCCTCGGCCGTCTTCTCTGCTTTGGCCCTGAGCTTGTTGAGCTGCTTCTTCCTCTCATACACCGCTTGAGACTTCTCCTTTCTCTTTTTCTCCAATTCCTGTTCATCAATCCCAACGCATAAGATTATATATTGGATTCTACCCAAATTCCATTAACAATCTCTCTCTTGATCATAACCATGTCCTAAAAGACATATATATAAGCTAGGACACATAATGAAATCATCCCTCTCGCAGTCGCATTTGAAACAGAAGTTACGAGAATCCAAATCCGATTATGATGATCTCCACAACAATGCTAGAGGCTAAATGAATAAAAAAGAGAACAAACTAAGAAGCTTAAACTTACCTTGATGGTGTCATAGTGATTCCACCCAACCTCAGAGGAAAGATGACCCAACAGGCAGTATTTGTGCCCAGCTTGAAGCCTCAAGACCCTAATTTGGTTGACATAAAAGAAGAAGAAAAAATCAGTGAGCATTAGCTATGAATCAGAGAGAAGAAATCAGACAAAATAAAAGGTAAAAAGACGAACTTGAGAGCGTCTGGGATGACCATCCTCTTCAATTTGTCATATGGGGGAGGGACACCTTCAAACACCTTCAAGCGGGCAAGCGCAGCAGCTCCACGCTTTGTCTTGTGGGGAATCATACTGCAATCCAATACCCAAAACACAAACTCCATTAAAAGAAATTCAAAACAAAACTTCTGGTGTAAAACAGTCAGAAATCTACAAATTATAATTTGAAATGATTCCTCAAGCAAGTGATCAAACATTCAACAGAGAAACTCCAAGCATATACTGGAAGCATGACAATTAAATTATTCTCAAGCAGCAACCACAACAGATACAGCACAAACACCGGAAACTAACAGGAGAGAGCTACACAAGAAAATGCACTTTCGAAATCTCCAGAACAAGCGAAAACCATCCATGAGATTCACACTACAAAAAGACAATAAAAATCCAGATTGCTACGAACAACCATCCACTAAACTGGGTAAAATCAAATCGACATATTGAATATACGAAAGAGAGATCGATCGATGAACGAACCCACGGACAGTTCGCCAGAAGATCTTGGACGGAGCACGGAAGTGGATGGGACCGTGCGAGGGCTTTGTGTTCATGCGCTTGCGGAGAAAACGCATGTACTTCATCTTCTGCCGGACAAGTCCGCCGGAGAGACAGATCTCCTCGCACCGGACGACCACCACCTTCTGACCATTGAGCAGCTCCTTGGCCACGATCGACGCCAAGCGTCCGAGCATGTGGTGTCGCGCGTCGACCACCACGCGCTTTGCGCATATCCCTGAGCCAGACACCATTGTTGCTTCAACCTCTTGGCGGCGTCTAATCCTTCTCCTCCGGCTTAACAGCTAAAGCCAGAGTTCATATAATTGAAGAAAACTTACGAATTAGGGTTTTCAGGGCATTTCGTCAAATGGAAATTGTGCCTTGTCATTAGCCCCATTTAGAAGTGGGCTTTTAATGGGCCTCTCTTGTACCATTAATTACGGCCCATTTATGGATGCAGGCCCATTTGTGATCGTAGGTCCATTTATTGCCTTGTCGAACCCAACTTACGTGTGGTATTTTTTTCATTTGAATTTTGTTATTGTTAAGAGAATTACAGTGAAAAAAAATGAGAAAACAATGGTTAGAAGAGTTCTACAATTATGGAACAAGCAAACGCAAAATGACAACTATTAATATATTTATATACACATATATATATATATATAATGTGAACGTAATGGAATCTGTGTCAAAAACATCGTTTTCGATGCCGTCAGAGAATAGGTGAACCCGTGAAGATATATATACACATGTATATATATATATATATCCAACATAATAATATAGTGTTAAAATCGTTGTAATAAGAATTTGTATGTAAGAACACGTGACAAGAGAGATTCAGGGATTCACGTACTTCGTCCTATGCTTTCGTATTATGCATTCACATGCTTCAGTAGCTTCTTCGCCCCCCTTTTTTTAAAAAAAAAAACGTATCCTTGTGTTTCACAGAGAGATGGAAAAACAAAAAGAGAACGAGAACGATGAGAGTATTTTCATGGACACAACTTCACGTGTTCCAAATCTCGTAACATGTAGAAAAAACAGAGATTTTTTTTTTTTTTATAAAAAAGGTCACATATTATTCATGTCTCCTCCTTTAAGAAAATAATATTGAAGAAGGCGACTACTAGTGATGTTTTATCAGGTGGGTTTTATCGGGTTCAAATTAGAAAAAAAAAATATATATATATAATGGAATTTATCCCAATCTTCGTTTGGTTTGGATAGACCTTAATTTATATAATTATTGATATTTTTTTTTATAATTCAAAAGTTTACTAGATATTTAATCCAACTATATAGATATTTAATCAAACTATATATCTATACGACTAAAATAAAAAAAAAGTCAGATGATTTGAAAAAGAGTTTTGACTCACCCTCATCCTTTACCCATTTGTAAGACATTCGAGTTAGTTTGATTTTGTGTTGGTCATACAAAACCAACCCTTGTTACTTGTTTTTTTTTTTTGTAAACGGGTTTCCTGGGTCGAGGCACAGACTAATCCTGGGGTCGGGAGCTAGCCATGTAATTTGAATTATGCGTTTCTTTTCCAGTCTGAGGTTCGAACTTGGGAGGGGACAGACGCTTTGCGCCCCATTTCATCGGTTGAATTACCCAGTTTGGGTCTTGTTACTCGTTTGACACAACATTCATGAAAACACAAATTTTATTTGTCGCTCCTTCCCCGACAACTCATAAGATTCCTGTATTATCTTAAGACTAGAGACAAGTTGAACATATTGACATACACACACATATACATACACATACGCATATACATAAAACACACACATGCACACATATCCTCTGTGAATGTACGCACAGTTGACAGTACACAAGATTTCAATGCACAACTTGAAAGACGCACCTAACCAAAGGACACTGAGGGTGAGAGCCTTGTGGATTTTTGGTGGCTACCAACAAAAAAGACACCACATAATCTTCTTCACCTACTGACAGAAAAACCCAACCTTCAACATGCCCAGAAACATCACCATCACATTCACTCATTTTCATCTCCATTATACACACACATATGTACATATATATACATACACACACTACAAACGCATGTAGGGGACCAGGTCACTGCACTGGAGAGAGAGAGAGGGCAGAAACAGATCACCAAATAAGCAATTAGATTATATAGATAAAACCCTGAAGGGATTAGTACAATGGTTGAGGTTCAGATCCCTAAGCTACCTCCCCAGCGTTTCTCTCTAACCACATTATTCATTACTTCAGTTTTCCTCCTACCTAAGGATTTTGGTGTTTGGTTAGTCTGTAAATTCACCAGATTCCTGAATCATAGTTTCCTCTTCCAACCATGGATGATATTGATGACTCTTTTGTGCTTCTTCTCAAGATCATGGAAAGACTTGCACCCATTCATAGCGCCCAGGGAGGGGCAGATCGTTCACGACATCGAAGTTGTACCTGAAGAAATTAGGGAGAATCACACAATTTAGACGATTAAATATGCAGAATATGAAAAAAAAACAAAAGAGAATGATGTTTACTTCTCCATGAATAGTCTCTGTTGTTGCTGCTCTGCATAGACAAAGAACTCCTCCAATTCACAAGTGGTCGGAACGATTCTGTGTGAATTGTCTCGGTCTCTTCTGGCCATTGCAGCCCTCTGCCTCGTGCTTGAGCCCGGGGCAACAATGGTGTGGAGATCCCCAGCAATGTTGCAAGGCGTGCTCTCTCGTGTGCTCCTGAAGAACAAAAAAAAAGCAGATTAAATATCAATTGCAAGTTCTATATATACATATAGAAGGTCACAAAATCACATATCATAGCAAACTACTCAAAGGGAAACAAATAAAACTTGAACAACCAAGAGATAAAGATTGTAATTACAGGCTCACCCCTGGAAAAAGACAGGCTTTGGTTTGGTCCCATGGGACAAGTTATGTAACACATAACAGGAAACACCAAAATCAATTGTCACATACAAAGTCACTTGCCCAAAAACAGAGTATCCAACACAAAACGTTCCATTCAGCTAAACTCTTTGGACCCATGAACAAGACATGACGATACTTGCACTACACTTATGAGGAAAGACAGTTATCTGCTTCTTTGTACGCCATAGTCAAAAGGTTTCCCCTCCTTCTCTTGTCACTTTTCATATGGACCTCTACCTGATTAAAAGCTCCTGACCTTTTCAACAAACCTCTTCCACATATACGGGGCATAAAACGACAACAGTCTCTACGCAAACAATTCAAAACGATTCCTCTTTCTCCCCACCACAGACCACATCGTACTACCAATGGAAACGAGAATAGTTGCACCCAACACTGCATCTTTTCAAACCATGTATCATGCTTCAGAAGCAAAGGGAGAAATATCAATGGTTGTAATTAGTTATATATAAAAGAAGCCCATAAACAACAGCAGCTGAGATAAAACAAGGTAGTCAGAGGTTAATGAAAGCTAATTCTTTTATATACATATATATATATATATGAATTATAAAGAAAAATAGCTTGGGACATTAATATCCTCTGCAGAGAGGTACACATGTAGCAGAGACCAATGACTCTGAAATATCTACCACCAAAAGAGACTCCCATGGAGTCGGATGATGAACAATAATTACAACCTCAGTACATCAGAAGAAAGCGAAACTTCAACAAAGACACCAAACAAAATAAGGGAAACTGAAAAAAAAAAGTTTTTTTATTGTTCTCTTTTCACCAAATCTTTTCTTCTACAGAGTTTTTTTTTCCATAACAAGAAACATAAACTCGTATGAATAAACAAAAAAAGATCTTAGGTAAATCCAATGCATTTATCTCACAACCCAGGTTAAGCTTTAAGACCACGAGCTTTCAATTATCGTTGTAATAGATGCAGACTAATAGTTTTATTGGACAAAACAAGATCGCATATTTGAAGCCATAGACTTCAGATGTAGAACCAAGTGAAACCTACACAACCGTGATGGCCGTCGGGACAAGAAATCAGAGATTAAAGAAAGCAGCATGAAAATAAATCATGGTTTCAAGCATCTGATATTTCAATCAAGAGAGAGAAAGAACATGCATGAGGTCAAAGAAGGAGAAAAATCATACTCTCGGACAGAGAAAAACAAACCCAATGAGAAAAAACTCGCCGACATCGATTTTGAAATTGAAAAGAATGAACTAGGGCACGGAAATTCGAACCTGTCTCTGACTTCAAAATCCGGGTTGTTCTCTCCGAAAGAAGCTTCTGTATTAACTTCCTTTCCGCCCTCAGTCTCAGACAAACCATTGTCCACAGAATCACCTTCATAACCCGCAACACCACCGTAATTGCCAGCATATCCATCTCCATCGCAACTTCGACCTACTGGAACCGACCCCGACACTAACGTGCGTGATTTCACCGAACCTACGCGAGACCTCGAACCGGACTCTTTGAATCCCCCGACTTCCGACCCCTGGTGTCTCTGCAGCTGCTGTTGTTTCCTGGGTTCGGCCAACAACTGCGGTTTCTCGAGACGACGGCTACGGAGCTGGAGATAGCACGAGGGGCCATTTGCGATGGCCGAGCCATCTGGACTGGTCGCCGGCGAGACGGCGGCGGCGGAGGCAGCGGCAGAGGAGGAGTTAAGCCTCTGCAAAGCTAGGGTTTTGGCGGCCCTTGTACGGACACCCAAGGAGGTTGGTTGAGAGACCTCCATAACTCCGACGTCTCCAGTTATCTTTGATTTCTTCATGTATTTTCCCATTTTCGATAACCAATCCCGACAGATTCTGAAGTCCTAGGAGCCAAAGCTCGAAGGCAGAGAAAATGGGAGGGAAAATTTTGGAGAAGGAAGAGAAGGAAAACAAATAAGAAAATTAGGGTTTTGTTGGGTTAATAAGCGAGAAAAATGTCACCTTTAAAAATATTTAAAACAAACAAATAAAAATTCATCATTAATATTCCCCAAAACTGTCCGCATTTATTTATATTAGGGCGCATTCTTTGTCCATTGCACCATCGCTTCCTTATATATATATATATATATATATATATTCAATTTAAGAAATAAAGATTTTCTAACCCTATACTAATAGATATGAATGCAAGTATCAAAGGTATATAATTAGCCTCCTGAAGTCGTGTGTTATAGAATTTCAGGATAAATCATCAATATTTGGATACAATTAATTTAAAACATTTTATATACCCAAAAATATCATAAAAGAATTTTCTCTTTATTTCTTTGAATAAAATAAAATGGGTATCTACATGTTTTAAAATTTTTTAATTGATTATCTTAGTATAATATTTGTTAATATGAATTTAGAAAAATTGATATAAATTATTGGCTCGATAGAAAATAAAATATTTTTATTAGTTTTTTTATAATGTAAAATTCTAGTTTTATCGTGTATATTGATGTTTTATGTATTTTTATTATTATATTTCTAATTTATTTATTACTTATTTTATAAATAAATAAATCTCATTTTAAACATAGTAATAAATTTTCTTGAAAATAATTATATTTTATATTTTTTTATAATTTGTTATTATTTCTTCATTCCAAGTTCTCATTTAATATTATAAGAATTTTATTAATAGCTTCTTTATAACTCCAATTTTAGTTTTAATATGGATGAAGTATAAAAAGTGATTTTAAATTAATACTACATAATAATCACATACATTTACTTTTTAATTAATATATTTAATTAGATTGATATAAATTTTTATAAACTAATCATCATCAACATCAATATCACCTTATTCTATGTTTATTTGGATTAATTCTTCTTTTTCATGTTAATTAAAAAAAATTACCATGTGAATTTTATATATTGAAATTAGCGATGGCAATTTTTCAGATACGCGGCGAAATTTTCAGAGAAGTTGGAATACACTTAATTAATCTCCTCGGAATGCTATAAAAAATAATTTAATAATAAAAAAGTAAAATTTAAATTTCTTTTTAAAGTATGCTTTTGTATAACCTTTTACACTTATTGATTGGAACTATTGATGTGGCCTTAATTCCAACTTTCCCCCCGAATTTATGGCTTTAACTTATTAAATTAAAAATAAAAGCGCCAAAAAAGACATCAATTTCCGATGGCAATTGCCCCGATTTTCTATAATCTATTATTTTCCGAAAATGGGGATACATAGTTAACCCCGATTTGTTTGCATGATTTTCCCGCCAATACCATATATATATATATATATGGTTATTTACCCTTTTATTTTATAAAATATTTTTGAAATTATTTTTGGATTTGCATCTTTTTATTTTTGTAAATTAAGACTATCAAAATTTTGCGCAGATAATTTAAGTTTTATAAAAATTGTATTTTTATAACGAATTTGATTGGGTTGTATCCGATTTTATATATTCTAAGAAATATCGGATCTTCTTTCTTTCTATTCCTAAATACGTTTTAAAAACTAAAGTATATTTTTTTATAATAGATTATATTGGATCAATAAAATATTTTCAGAATCGGAAGACAATGATATGTTTTGAATTATACGTTTTTTTTCTAAATTTAAGGTTCGAATTCGAACCGATACAAATGTTTAATGTCTCTTTTTCACGGATTAAACTATCCAAGTTTTGATAAAATTATATTTATTCGACTATATATATATATATATATATGATTATGCACAGTTAATTATGGAGTCGAGTGTGGCTCATAATGAGAGAGAATCTCTAATAAATATGCGTTCGAATAAAGGAATCTGAATAGGGATGATGACGTCATCGCTAGCATTCATAAAATAGTAATAAAAAGAGAAATAAATGCAAGAAATGAATATGTGACGTTTACTTTGGTGCATGGTTGAGTCGGTCAAGTTGATTTGGGCGTTTCCCAATTCTAACTATCGTAACGATCAAAAAGGTTGTTGGACCGACTAGACAGACTACCGCATTGGATTCCTTCGGCTCCACCCCGATAATTTAAAATAAAATAAAATAAAAAATTATCATTATGTCATGTTTTATTTCAAATTAAAAGTTATAACCTTTAGTTGAACCTCCTTTCACCCCACCCCCCACGTAATAAAGGAACTAGTAGGATTTTGTTCTGGATAACGAAATTATTATTTATATAACATTAATTGATAGAGCTCCAATAAAAAGATACTACGAAATCAAATACAAATGTTTTTAAATGAATAATTCTTACAAAATCTGTTTTAGAGGAAAGCATTTATTGTAAAAATTAAATGTATATAATTTTTTTTAAAAGAATGATATAATAAAAAATATTTTTTTAGTGCATTAGCTATTGAAGTTTTTTTAATACTAAATTATATACCATTTTAAAAGTGAATTTAATGCTGTAAATATACAAAGAAAGCCCATGTATTAAACTGAAAAAAAGAACAAATATAAAAATAAAATAATAATGTTCTAAATAGACACAAATGATGGGTAGTAGTTAGGGCTGGGCACAAATACCCGAAAATCGGGTATCCGTCGGATACTCGTCTCACGGATACCCGATTTTAGGGTACTCGTAATTTTCAAATCCGAATCCAAATCCTTATTTTTCAATACCCGTGAATCCGGATCCAAATCCGGATAATAGAATTTTTAAAACCGGATATCCGCGGGTACCCGCGTATTATGATTATAAATAATTATATCTTATATTTATATAACATTTTTATAAAATACAATTATTTTAGATGAAATAATTTCATATTTTTTTAATATTAATTCAAAAAATTAAATTTATTATTATTTGTCTCTTATTATCTCTTTTGTCTTATATATTTTATCATAATTCATCAATTTTTATAAATATATCTTCATGTTTTAAAAATTTTATATATGAATATTGTTGTTTTTCTTAAATAAATCCGGATCCGGATATCCGCGAGTACCCGACTATTATTCCGGATACCCGTACCCCGGATACTCGTAAATACCAAATCCCGGATACAAATCTCATAGTTAAATACCCGAGCCTCCCGGATCCGAATCCAAATCTCTCGATTTTCCCGGGTATCCGACCCGTGCCCACCCCTAGTAGTAGTGGTGGTGGTGAGTGAATAGAAGGGCCGCACGAGTGGCCAAAAAAAAAGAAAAAAAAAAGTGAGAACCAATCATGAGTGACGCTGACGTGGCTATGGATTCCACACACGGACTCTACCTCCAACATTAAACTATATTGAGCTCCCTCTCTCTTCGCGTCCTCCCGCCTTTTTATTTCCTTCCCGACACAATCCCGCGCCTTCAACTAATCCCCAACTAAACACGTTTTAATAAACTAATACCAAATATATTGTATTGTCAGTTACATCATCATCATCATCATCATCATCATCATCATCAGCATTCTATTGTAAAATTGAATGGAAAACCGAACAAAACCAAATGTTTCATACGTTCGATATTCCTATACTATAGTTACTTTTTTCTGAATTACTAAAACTAATACTAATATTTCAGTTTTTTGGCTCTAAATAAAGAAAAAAAAATGACTGATAGGCCAATAAATAAAATATTATCAGCGTCATAAATAATGCGAAAAACATATAGTACATTAAAATAAATAAAATCTATGGGGAAATGTAATAATTAGGATGAAAGTAACGTAAAATATTAAATGCTCGGTTAGTTGGTACTACTCGCTCAAGTGAAAAAACGAATAGGTGAATAAGCAAAAGCACACGTGGTAAATATTAATTAATAAAAACTTTATGGATTTGCATGACTAATATATAAAGAAAAATATTACTCCCTCCGTTTCAAAATAATTGTAAGGTTATTTCACGTTTTTTTTAAAAAAAGTCACATATACCCTTATTTAATGATTAAAACAATGTTATCATTAATAATTTATTGGAATTTAATAGGGATAAAATTGAAAACTATTGTAAAAAAATATCTTGAAAATGTAGAATGACAAATATTTTGAAACATGAAAAATAATCTAAAACTACAAATATTTTGAAACGGTGGGAGTATTTGTTATTTAAATTTAAATACAAATACTTTTGAAAAGCAATTGGTCAGGAGTGCTCCTACTCAATCAACCTTTGGTTATTTCACTGTCCAATGAGTTGGGCCGAGCTCCATTCCCAATGAAGGCCCATTTATATAGGCCCAATAATATATGGGCCGAACAGCTAAAAGGAGACGAGCCCAAATCCCAGCTAAGAAAAAAAAAAAAATTCACGTTCACATCACCTCGCTCGATGACCATCCACTCTGTCGAATCTTCTTAGGTCGGACGATCTGACGCCCATCGCTGATGAATCGGTTTCCTAGTTCCTGATTTTCAATCTATCTCCCACTGAAGGTATTCTTCTCCTTCTTGTTTTCCCTTCTCACTCAATTGGATTCCGTCGAAATTGGTTCCAGATAGATTATTGTTGGTTTCTGATGAATTTGCTTTCCAGATCTTTCAGGTTTTTGCTCCGTAGATTCTGTGGACTTTTATCTGAATTTCCATTTTGAAGTATGTTTCCGTATATGGGACGAATCTCTGTTATGTCAGGTTTTTGGTCGATAGCGAAACTGAGGGCGCGGAGATTTTCACTGAAGACAACTTGAGCACGATCAATCACAATCGCTAGACCTGTCAGTGTCAGAAAGTCACCGAAAGTCAGGTAAGAGTTCATTTACACATAAGGCGAAGAGCACGAAGAAGGCGTATCTTCCTCTTCTTCTTCTGGATTTTCTAACTCGGGTAAGATCCGGCATGGGTTTCTCAAATCTCTTGGATCTGTTTTTTTTCTCTTGCTAAATTTAGTTGTCTTTGTTTGTGATTTTAGTTTTGGATCCGATATTTTGAGGCGTTTTCTACAATTTACGAAGGATCGCTTCATTTTCTGAGCTGTATGTGGCTGTTTTTCAATAGGTTCCTTGTCGTCTTTGCTGAATTCTCGAGTTCCTTTCCTTAGTAGTTCCATTGCTCGAATTATTTGTTGGGTTTTTTATGAATTGTTTGATGCCAATGTACGGTAGGCACTGGATCCATTATGCTTGTTTTTTTCACTTTTAAGTGGGTTGAGTAAATCATAGTTTTTGTTGTTAGTCTTTTACGCTTTTTGATGACTGAGGATTTATTCTAGGAACTAGACTCTGATGTTAAACCTTTTTCTTTTTGTCGTGCAAATCTACAGTGAATTTGATACTTCTCCTATTAGGCTGTAGCCTCGGTTCCATTGCCCCATTTTATTTTGTGTGCAATGGGGTTTCGACTAAATTTCAAGTCCAAATTAGTAACATCTGTCCCTGGAAGATGATTTTAACATTTTATCAATGTGATTTACGTTCTAATTCTTCAAAGAGTAATTCTTGGGTATGTCAGCTGCAGATTTTCTTTTTGTTCCTCAGTTGTGTTATGTATAAAAATCTTGTTAGCTACAATAATTACGGAGATGCACCTACCCTTAGCTAAACTGAAAGTAGATGAATTGGGACAATTACCTGAAACTCTGTACTTATTCTCTTGCTGCTTCGCCACTAGTTTCTTAGCGAGTCTTGAGTAATACTGTAATCTTTAGAAAAATACTTGTTGCTTTCGTTCAATACCTGTTTACTTGAGACATTTTTCAATGGCAGGTTGAAGTCATGAAGGTTTGCCTGTGACTGACCGAACTTAAAGGTCTAAAAAATAATGGGGACAGAGAACCCAGGTTATCCAAGACCTACTGCTTCACCATTTGCATCTGCTCCCCCTTCAGTGATGCCACAACAATCAGGTGGACCTGGTGGTGGATCAGAGACCACTAGCTTTACGCCATTTCCGTCATCCATCCCCCAGAATATAAGGCCTCAAGCTTCTGGACCTCCTTTGGGCCCACAGATTGGTGGAATGAGGCCTGTCCCACCATTTGCGGCTCCAAATATCATGCCTTCCCCGGCTTCGGTGCCTCCTTTTGGATCCCAGATGTCAGTGACCAGACCACCACCACCATCCATGTCGTCTCCCCCGACAGCATATGCTCCGCCTGTCGCTGGCCCTTTTCAGCGAGTACCAACCCCTCCATTCCCGACAACCCAAATTCCTCCGCCAGTTCCACCAGTTGGTCGACCGCCAACTCAAGCTCTTCCCGGTCAAATGTCACCGCCTCCTGTTTCTTTTCATCCGCAGCAACAAGTGCCTCCTGTACCAATGGGATCTTCCCCACAAAGTATTACTTCTGGGCCACCTGGTGCAAATCCTGCTCAAACTGCTGCAGATTTGCAGTCTTTTGCTCCTAGACCTGGTTTCCAGCAGTCTTTTCCTTCGGTCAGTTCTTATTCTGGTGGTGCTAGTATACAGCCATCTGCCCCTTTCCGTTTCAGCAATGCAGTTCCGCCGGCTCCTCCAACGACCTTCCCTTCTCCTGCATCACAGGGAACTGTTTTAGCACCTCCAACTACCGTGTCCTCATATCCGCCACATCAAGGAGGCTTTGCACAGCCCCCAACTCTAGTTGCGCAACAGAACATACACCCTGGTTATGCACCCCCTATTAGTAATGCTCAAGGCTTGGTAGAAGATTTTAGCTCCCTGTCTCTTGCATCGGTTCCTGGATCCCTTGAGCCAGGGCTTGATCACAAGTCATTTCCCAGGCCTTTGGACGGAGATGTGGAACCAATCTCGTTTGCTGAAATGTATCCCATGAACTGCCCTTCTAGATATCTGCGTCTTACTACCAATGCTATACCAAATTCCCAATCTTTGGCTTCGAGGTGGCATTTAACTCTTGGAGCTGTAGTTTGTCCGCTTGCAGAGACTCCTGTAGGGGTTAGTATTTTTCTGACAAATAATAAAGTTCTTGAAATCCTTTTATCTTTTGATAATTCAGGACTTCCTATTGGTGTATATGGTATTGTGTCTACTTATAGAAATTTTGGAATTTTTTCCCTGTTAATGGTTATCAAATTATTTTTTTTTCATCTGTTCAGGAGGAGGAGGTACCACTTCTTGATTTTGGTTCAATGGGCATCATCCGCTGCAGAAGATGTCGTACCTATGTGAATCCTTATGTGACTTTTACTGATTCTGGACGAAAGTGGCGCTGTAATATTTGTGCATTGCTAAATGACGGTAATTTTATAACGCTAAATGTATTATCTGCAAACTTAAGCACGCCATCACATTGCAGTTTGAACATGCCTTCTAAATGGTGTTGTACTTTCTTTTCTTTATTATATATGTAGAGTTTTTTTTCTCCCGTTTCTGTATGTATGACTTTCGTGCTTAAGTTGGTTGGTGAGGTTTTTCCTTCACCGTCCTTAATTTGAAAGAACCATCGATCAGGTTCCTTTTACTCTTGAATACATCAGGTGAAAGCTGTCTAGACTTTTGTTTATATTATGCATGTTTGGTTTTCCTGGCTGTCTGTTCTCTTTTAATTCTATCTAGGCATTTGATTTTGTGTGGTTTCTGTTCATGGTGATATTCTCTTTTCCTGTTAATTACCAGATGCTACTTTGTTCCTGATGCCCTTTGTTATAGTTATTTCAAGTGTATGTTTTATTTATGTGGGATAATTTGATGACCATGCCTGCATCGATTTTATTGTTTAGTGCCGGGTGAATACTTTTCACATTTGGATGGCTCTGGCGGAAGAATGGATTTGAATCACCGGCCTGAGCTTACAACGGGTAGTGTCGAGTTTATAGCTCCAACTGAATATATGGTGCGGCCTCCAATGCCACCAATATACTTCTTCCTCATTGACGTTTCGATTTCGGCTAGTAGAAGTGGAATGCTTGAGGTAAGCACTTTGCCCTCTAATATGTCACCTCTTGATAACATTTCTTAAACTAGGTTATCATTCTGTATATGTACATTTTTGTTGTTCTATATATTTGCTTTTTAAACACCAAACCATGCTGATGACGTCTTAATACTTCTTTGTGAGATAAGATGCTGATAATGGGTGTTTAGGGCTGTTGTTTTCTCAGCTAGCTAGGTTATTCTTTTCCGTTAGCTGCTAATGAATTTTGCATTTATGTTTTTTTTTGTTTCTCAGGTTGTGGCTGAAACAATTAAGTCTTGTCTGGATAAGCTGCCTGGTTACCCCAGAACTCAAATTGGATTTATTACTTATGACAGTACGATACACTTTTATAACATGAAGGTAAGGGACTTGAGTGTATGGAGATTTTGTTCTGACATACTAAATTTTCTGTTTTGCATAATTTGCAACCTTGCCCATGCAGTGTTCTCTGAGCCAGCCTCAAATGATGGTGGTTTCTGATCTAGATGATATATTTGTCCCATTACCGGATGATCTCCTTGTCAATCTATCTGAATCAAAAAGTGTGGTGGAAGCCTTTTTGGATAGTCTGCCGGTGATGTTCCAGGATAATGTTAACATGGAATCAGCTTTTGGTCCTGCCCTCAAAGCAGCATTTATGGTTATGGTGCGTCTCTGTTTTCCATTTTGAGCTAAAATCACGCGATAGATTTTGATGTTATGTGTCGGTTGCTGCATTCTGAAATCTTCATTGCTCTTAGTCAAGCTCATACAGATGTTGACTTTGTTATGTCTGTGTCCTTCAGAACCAACTTGGGGGGAAATTGCTAATATTCCAGAACACATTGCCTTCTCTCGGTGTTGGACGTTTGAAGCTACGAGGAGATGATCCTCGTGTTTATGGAACAGACAAGGAGTATTCTTTAAGAATACCAGAAGATCCCTTCTATAAGCAAATGGCTGCTGATTGTACTAAATTCCAGATTGGAGTGAATGTCTACGCGTTCAGTGATAAGTACACTGATATTGCCTCCTTAGGTATCTATGTGAACATTATTATGCTCATGGTTGGTGTTGATAGTGCAGTAGTTCCGGAAACACTTTGCTTGTAGTTGATGTTGCTCTTATGTTAGATTATTGTTGTTCTATATTCTGTATTATGCAATTGGACAAGATATGTAATAGTTGACAATTTTGTGTATGCATCAATTTGTGTAGGGACCCTGGCGAAATACACTGGAGGTCAGGTGTATTATTATCCAGGTTTCCAATCATCAGTACATGGAGATAAGTTGCGACATGAGTTGGCCAGAGACCTTACGAGGGAAACTGCCTGGGAGGCAGTTATGCGTATAAGATGTGGAAAAGGTTTGATTTTCCATTAAAAAAAATTTAGTTACTGCGGCCTACTCATAGAGTGATAAAATCACTGTTAAGCAACATGGTACTTGTTAACTTCTATCATTTTTTTTGGCAGGGATCCGATTCACAACTTACCACGGGAACTTCATGCTAAGGTCTACTGATCTCCTTGCCCTTCCTGCTGTTGATTGCGACAAAGCATATGCAATGCAGCTATCTCTCGAAGAGACATTGCTGACAACTCAGACTGTCTATTTCCAAGTCGCGTTGCTGTATCCTTGAATCATGAATTTATTTTTGAAAACAGAAAACCATGCTTATGTTCTACTTTGAGATTATGTTTATTTTTGAATCATGAATTCATTTCCAAGTCGCCTTTAAGATTTCTTTAACAGAACTAAGATATACGGCATCTTGTGGAGAGAGGCGCATCAGAGTACACACAGCTGCTGCACCGGTGGTGGCTGATCTTGGAGAGATGTATCGACAAGCAGACACTGGCTCCATTGTCTCTGTGTTTACTAGATTAGGTATGATAAGGGGAAGTATTTTTCTAGTAAGCATCATATATCACCTCTCGAATAACTAATAATTAGAGTGGCCCTTTCAGCAATCGAGAAAACGTTATCCTCAAAACTGGACGATGCACGGAATGCGGTGCAACAGAGGGTTGTTAAAGCCCTCAGAGAATATCGTAATCTTCATGCAGTGCAGCATCGATTGGGGTCTAGATTAATATATCCTGAATCCTTGAAATTCTTGCCTTTGTATGCTATGGCGCTTTGCAAGTCAACTCCTCTCCAAGCTGCGCAAGTCGACGCCTCTCTTGATGAGCGCAGTGCGGCAGGCTTCACTATGATGGCGCTGCCAGTTAAAAAGTTACTGAAGCTTTTGTATCCTAATTTATTCCGGGTTGATGAGTGGCTCTTAAAGGTTTGTTACTTTCTGAGTGTACATTGTCAAAGATTTCTTCAGAGGGTCTTAATGAATATGAAATTTTACTCTTTTATCTTGTTTCGATTTTGCAGCCATCTGTTGGCCAAGATGACGTTGAGGATGTATTGAAGAAGAGGTTACCTCTCGCTGCAGAGAGTTTGGATTCGAGGGGCCTTTACATTTATGATGATGGTTTCCGCTTCGTCTTATGGTTTGGTAGAATGCTTTCGCCTGACGTCTCCAAAAATCTTCTTGGGGCCGACTTTGCAGCAGAGCTGTCGAGGGTATGTGTTTTATATCCGTGGCATCTCTACTTTGTGCATGTCACATGTGTTGTTGGTTTGCATAAACATTGGCAATAAACCCTGAAGTGAACTAGTGAAGTGATTCTGATAGTGGGTTTGTGGGGATGGAATATGGTAGGAAGAGAATCATCACATGTTTACAATAATGGGCAAGATGGTCATGGCCCTGACTTCATATGATGTTTATGGCTGATGCGAATAAATGAATCAGCTCTCACTCCTGGTTATTTATATGGATCATAAACCTTTTTCGTTGTATGTTTTTTCATTGTTATTAACGATTCTGAATCGTGATGGGTTTTGTGTTGTGAATCCCGGGGTGTTGGTAGGTGATGAACCTGCAAGAGCAAGAGAACGGAATGTCGAAGAAGCTAATGAGGTTGATCAAGAAGATGAGGGAAAGCGACCCTTCGTATCATCAAATGTGCCATCTGGTGAGACAAGGAGAGCAACCCCGAGAAGGGTTCCTTCTCCTCAGAAATCTCATCGAGGATCCGATGGGCGGTTCCACTGGTTACGTCGACTGGATCATGCAACTTCACCGCCATGTCCAACAGAATTCCTGAATTAGCTTTTACAGGTAAACCTATCTTCCATCCTCGTTCATAGCCAAATCTCATTCTACGCTTTATGTTTTATCTATACGAGGCTCTGTTTCCATGACCAGGAACTCCGTCATGAGTATATGTGCATTGCGTTCGGGCAAAAAGGGGACCCTTGTAAGCAAAATACGACCACTGAAGAAAAACCCTACCTTGAGCTCTACGTCTTGTTCTTGGGTCGTTGCAAGTACAGATTTTTATTACGCTTGACGATTCATTGTGGCGATTCTGTGTTTTTTTTTTTGTTTGGGGATCAGGATTAGGGTTCTCTGTTCTGTCTTCACAGAATTTTAAATGTGTCTGCCCACCAAACTCTCATATCTTCCAGCTTTTTGTTTTTGTCCAAACTTAGATTCAGATTCGTTTTATGTTCTTGAGGTTATGGTGAAGAATATTATCTAATCAGAAACATAATTTTTAATTCATAAAACAACAGTTTAACAAAATATCCATCGCCACGAATATCTTCAACGACTAAATACAAAAGATTAAACTTCAAAAAAGATCCGAAGTCTACCAAAGGAGACAGAACAACTTTGGAAAAGCATTCTTCTCATTAGACTCCATCAGCTTCTTTTCCATTAGATCCTCGGCAGAAGATCCAGCCCCATTGCTTCTTGAACTGCACAATCTCCATCACGATCGCTACCACCCCCACGAACCCTATCGCGACCGTGTAGACGATCTTCCACGTGTTCGCCGGTTGCAAGATAGCCAGACCTTTGTAGATGTTGTAGATGCTGAGCCCTATGACGACGTATCCGACCGTGTGGTGGTACCAGTTCCAGTATCTTCTGTACTTGTGATCCTTGTCCGGTCTTGCTTTCAGCGCAAGAATCTGCAAGAACCCTAGTATGAATAGCACCACTCCTATGATGGAATGCAGACCGAACCTAAATCCGGTGGATCTCCACATGATGATTGCGGTTCCAAGCCCACCGGAAAGGCCGATGAAGTAACCGAGGGATTGACAGATGACGTGAGTGTAGAACCACATCGGATCTAACGTGTCGTAAGCCTTCATGTATCTGGCCGCCAATCCACCCAAAGGCATGAGAAATCCCCAGCTCACTGTGTTGATGATGCCGTGGGCGTTCTTCACACGCGACATGTACGTGCTGGGACCTCCTCCCTTTGAGGCGACGGCTCTGCCTGACAGAAGGTCCAAAGTCCCCATGGATTTGAGATGATCTCCTCCCATTGCGTGCATCCCAAGTCTCCCTCCTTCCAGGACAGGACCGTCTTGCCAGAGATGGTTGACCACCGTTGTGTTGGGAGGCAGAACAAGAGTGGCGAATATCGTCATCTCGTTGTCAGAAGAATACTCGGCGGAGATGTTGTTGACGTTGAAACTGAGAGGCCCTTCTTGAAGGATGGTGGAATAGGAGGTGATGGGAGAGGTATAAGCACGCATCAGTCCGGTGGTTGAGTTTCTGTAAGCGACGAGCGACTGAGCGCCCGACATGCCATGGCCTCGAGGGTTGATGGCCCATGACACCCAGCTCGACGGCTCCATCTTCGCATGTCTGTAGGCCACATCGAGAAGGCCTGTCTCCTGGACATAACTGAAGTGAATGAAGGAATCCAGGACAGGAAGATCGCTGCATGACGCGACATGTACGTGCTGGGACCTCCTCCCTTTGAGGCGACGGCTCTGCCTGACAGAAGGTCCAAAGTCCCCATGGATTTGAGATGATCTCCTCCCATTGCGTGCATCCCAAGTCTCCCTCCTTCCAGGACAGGACCGTCTTGCCAGAGATGGTTGACCACCGTTGTGTTGGGAGGCAGAACAAGAGTGGCGAATATCGTCATCTCGTTGTCAGAAGAATACTCGGCGGAGATGTTGTTGACGTTGAAACTGAGAGGCCCTTCTTGAAGGATGGTGGAATAGGAGGTGATGGGAGAGGTATAAGCACGCATCAGTCCGGTGGTTGAGTTTCTGTAAGCGACGAGCGACTGAGCGCCCGACATGCCATGGCCTCGAGGGTTGATGGCCCATGACACCCAGCTCGACGGCTCCATCTTCGCATGTCTGTAGGCCACATCGAGAAGGCCTGTCTCCTGGACATAACTGAAGTGAATGAAGGAATCCAGGACAGGAAGATCGCTGCATGTACGGAAGGTTCTGCCGCCGGAGAAGACGCGTGATTCGCACGTTTGGACCGCCGAACAAAACCTCAGGAGAGACAGGAGGCACGAAACCGCGAAGAGGAGTTTCCAGGAGATCATGGACATGGCGATTGGCTGATTGATGATGATGATCGATTCAGAGAACTGGGAACGGAAGAAGAGAAGTGATGAAGATGGCAGATGATGTTTGCAAGGGGAACACCCTCTGCGTGGTTTATGCATGTATATATATATATAGGGATAGAGATTGCAAAGCCCATCTCCTGATCTGCTTGGGATTATCTCATAATTACGCGTGTTTTTTTTAAGATTTATGAGATTTGTTACGAATCATATTTGAATTTCTTAATCTCAATTTCCTTAATTCTTTCTACTTTCCTTATCTATGGAGCTCGTAATTCCAGTCACGTCATCTTCCACTATTACTTGGGATTTTCAATTCCATGTGAGAAAAACAAAACCAGTATAATGTAGAATAAAATCCAATTTAAATATTTCAGAAAATGGAAACAAATATCTTATAAAATGGAAATTACCCAAGGTAAAAGGAGGCACTAAAAAATAATTTGATGAAACTTGATATTTCTTGCAGTTATCATCAGGGCACATGACAGGTGGCTTTTTAAAGTTGAGATAAATGTCATTAAAAAAATAAGAAATTAAAACAGTTGAAAAATATATATATCTAGACCCACGAAAAGGAAACTTTTATATTCAACACGCATTCATCGAAAACAAACTTGTACAAAATCATATAAAACAGAAACAGAATATTGAAAACAAACTTTGCGACAGACAAAAAAATAATTTATAAAAATTATAAAAATATCTCATTCTTAAATTTAGATAAAAGAATTAAAATATAAAAAAATCGGTCAAGTATGATGGGAAAATTTATTCTAAGAAAATAATTGAAATACGGAAAAGTAAAATCGTGAAAAACAAAGGCCTTGAATTGTTGGTAGTTTTGAGAGTTTTAGAATCTAAAAACCAAAAAAAAGTATCATTCAAGTTTTTACAAAATTAATTTTTCTAAAAATTTAGAAAGTCATTTTGATGGAAAACTTTTTTTAGTTTTCAAATATTATAAAATCTAAAATTTAAAAAGTAAAAACCAAAATTCAAAAACTATAACAAAAACCCAAAATAAAAGTCATTTTCATTCAAAACTAAAAACAAAAAATTCGGTAGATTTTGGCATTTGAATTGCAAATATATTTAGAAAAAATTTCATAAAAAATGCTGAACTTTTCAATTTTGATAAAAAATACTGAACTTTATTTTTTGTCAAATAAACATTAAACTTTTTAAATGAATCTAAAAAACACATAACTTTTTAATAATCCAAAAAATACATGAATTTTTCTGCGATTTAAAAAAAACACTAAACTTTTTTAGTGATATGAAAAAATATATGAATTGTTTTCGATCGTAAAAAAAACTAAATAAGATAATCTGACGTATTTGTATAAATCATGTATGTATCATAAAACATCAGACAAAAATATAATTTTGAACTAGAATGATTTGAATTTTCGGATTGAATAAGAATACCATTTCAATGTTAAATTTAGAATTTTGATACCAAATGAAAATCACAAACGGATAATAAAAAATAAATTTGAAATATGAGGTATGTATCGAAAATAAATTTCAAATCGAATTTCAAATCTGAATTGTTGGAATTCAGAATTTGATATATCAGGATTTATAATTTAATTTTGTTAAGACATATGGCACCAAAGAGTTTCGTTTATATATTTGGTTAACTAAGTAAAGTAAATGGGTTTAATTGGGGTACTATGGGTTTGTGGGTCAAGCCCAACCTATTAAACTCTTTTATTGAGCGGCACGTCACCTAGATATCAAGCGTACCTTGAGGGGCACGTCACCTAGATATCAAGCCGAGAGCGAAACTCTTTTACTGTAACCTTCTCGTTCGTCGTGGTTCCTAAGTCTGGCAAGTGCAGATCAGTATGAGCAATCAGCTTAATCTACACAATCTCATGGTAAGCAAATACAAGAACGATTCTCTAAACCAGAAACACGAAAACTTACATGAAATCAGGAGAGGCTTTCATAGTAAGAACCGTTTCCTGTTCTGAAATAGTGTTTGATGGTAGGAATGTGTTCAACCTTTGATCGGTCTATGCTCTTCTCCCCACAGATGCTGTCCACTAGTTGATCTGAAACATGAATCAAATGCAGTTCTTGAAGTTTGACAAGACTTTCAATCCCGTTGGGTACCGATTTCATCCCTCTGCAAGCAATTACATACAGTTTCTGGAGATCGGGCATCGACCCGTCACATATAATGATTTCTCCCAACCGCGGCATCTGAACAACCTCCAATACTTTCAGATTTTGAAACCCTCCTGAGAAGCAAAGCTTATTTCCTCGGTATGCATTGTAAAAAGAAAGCCATACCAAATTGGGAAGCCCTTTGATACAACGGATTGCGTCTTCATCTAGTCCAGACCAACGCAGGCCGAGATACGAAAGACTGTGAAGAGTTGTAAACCAGCTAGGCAATTTCTCTAGTTTCCCAGCTAGGAAGAGCTTCTCGATGTTTGTAGTTGACGACAATGTATCTATCTTTAATGTCTCTTCCTCGTCAATCGAAGTCAAAGATAAGAACCGTAGACCCGTGATCCTGTTGAGAGAATTGCATAAATCATTTCCATGATCTTTCCTAACCTTGGCAAGACTGATCCTTGTGAGTTGTGTCATGTTACCGAGTTTCTTGATAAGCTCAGTTTTTGCGTTGATGCAGTCCATGACCTGCAAGTTCTTTAGTTTCCAAATATCAGAGGGAACACCAGTGCCTAAAACATAGTTCCAGTCAGAATCGTGCCCGTCGTTATGGCGGAAAGTAATCAAATGGCGTAACTTTTGCAACTTTGACACCCCGAGAGGAAGTTCCGCAATCTTGGAGTGCTTAGTGTTTAGGGTTTCCAAGTTAAGGAGTTTATGGAACGCTTTCGGGAGTTCCTTTACCTGTGTTCTCATCAAATTCAGGTACTTGAGGTTGAATAATTTCACCAGAGAATCTGGCAGTTTGTTGACAGTGCAGTCTTGAAGGTCTAAAGCTCTCAAAAGCTTCATGCGAGGCGGTAGAGCAATTTCCGGATTAGTAGCAGAGAACACCAAGAGAGAGCTGAGGTTCATACCTTTCCTGCCCGATGTCATATGTCCCCGAATGCATAAATGGCGAGTTTTGACGTTTTCAATTGCTTCTGCCTCGTCATCACACACATCACAAAACATCTCGGCTTTGGAGATCGGTAAGGCAATCTCCCGTATCACGTCGTGCATCTTAAGTGCCTTGGGCCGTCCCAAATGGTTCGTCAAGACGGCTTGGAGCATATTTCTGTACACAAGCTCCATAATGTAACTATCCCCCACTTCCTCGGGTTTTGCTCCTTTGATACGTTCGACAAACCCTTGTGCCATCCACATCCTAACGAGTCTCTTCCGTCTGATTCGGTAGTTTTCAGGGAAAAGACAACAGTACAAGAAGCAGTGTTTAAGTGGGTACGATAGATCTTTGAAACTGAGCAACAAAATACTCTGAACAACCTTTAACTCCGGGTGGTTGTTCAATTCCCAGTTCAAGGTATCGTAAACTTTCTTCCATTCTGTTTTCAACTTCTTTGTCGACATCATACTACCCAAAGCCACAATAGCTAACGGCAAGCCTTGACACCTCTCGACTAGGTTTCTCGCGATCTGTTCTATATTCTGCGTTCTGCAACATTCAAGGTTTCCCGAGAATGCTTTGTTGCAGAAAAGCTTCCAAGCTTCTTCTTCATTAAGGGGTTCAATCTTGTGGGTTTGGCTCCCGATCCCAAAGGAGAACGAAGCCACTGTTTCGTCACGAGTAGTGATCATCACACGGCTTCCGCAAATACCATCCGGAAGGGCCACTCTTATCTCTGTCCATAAACTTGTGCTCCACACGTCATCGAGCACAACGATATACCTCTTGGAATGCAGATGGTTTACGAGCTTTTCCACCAATTCTCTATAGCTCATGGAGTAGAGTTCACCTGGAACTTGAGTTTCTGCTTCCTTGTAGAATTCTTTGATCATGGACCTGAAGACATCTTCAATCACATAGGACTGAGATATAGTGACCCAAGCGCTAGAATCGAAATGGGTCTGAACCATCTGGGACTTGAAGATATTAGCAGCAAGAGTCGTTTTTCCCGAGCCACCCATACCAACCACTGAGACCACAGTCCTCTGAAGCTCCGAGTTCAGAAGCCACCCTATTAGCTTCCCTTTGGCTGCATCTATACCCACCAAACTGTCATCACCTATGAAAAGAGACGACTCGCCTATGTTCCTCACCCGTTTTGTTCTGTCATCACCACCAACAACAGGTAACGCCGTATTTGAAGAAGAATACCTCTTCATGGTATCGGATAAGGCCTGAATTGTGGCATTCACTGTTTCGAGCTTACTTGCAATGGAGCGCTTCGTCCATATATACATTGGGAGGCGGAAAGCTCGTTGAAGCATGGAGAGGGAGTGGTAGCCATTGATGAGATAGGTGAACTCGTCGATGATGTCTTCGATTTGGTTGGCTAAGTCTCTAGTGTTGGAGACAAATGTTTGGAAGACCTGTGTTGTGGTTCCTCCATGTTTGGTTGTGTCCTCAAGGAAGGAGTTCATGATCATCAACCCCTTCCTCGTCTTCTCGACCTCGCCATGGATTCCGGTCAACAACAAGGCTTCGCTTTCCAATATGCTTAAGATCCGTCCGACCCCGAAATCAACAGCAGCCGAAGTCATCTTGTTCTCCAGACCTGAAAGAAAGCAGGAAAAGACAACTCTGAGATTCGATCTGAATCTAACATGCCAAGTCAACTCTTTGGCCTGGTCTTTTTTTTTGGGTCAACCACTGTCTTTGCTGCTTTCACACTTTTCAACTTGGGCAAGTTGGATTTCTCTGAAACTTCGTCCCACAAGTACCAGCCGACAAATCCGACAATCATCTGTGTGTATATTATATCCTTAAGATCCAAAGATTAAATTTAAAACGAGATTAATTAAGGAAGATATCCAACATTGAGATAAACCCCTAAAAAAATTTGGAACAAAATGTCAGAAATTATGGAAGAATCTTCGTATCTGCCGCTGCTTTGTTTGTGAGTCTGTGACAGTGAGGCTTATAGAAAACACTGAGATGAAATCAATGTCTTTGCGTAGAGAGAGATGTGCTGTTCCGTCAAACTTCATCCCAGTACCATTGATTACTTTCAACTGGGAAACAAATTCCAAATCCAAATACAAAATCTCATCGCAAACACGACCGACATCTCAGTGACATAATATATATGGGGTAACAAAAGGAAATCAAGATTCGAGTTTCACGTCACCACAACAAATGCAAGCATCGTAGAGATTTACCAGAATAGCAACCAAAGAATTCGGGAGCTCATACTATACAAGAAGCGGAGACCATTATGATGTCGAGAATGATGATATGTAGCCCGTTGAATAAAACGGAAGCTTCTATCCGTTACCCGAACAAGAATCTGATGTCGTCTTGGTTCAGCATTTGAAGCCACCACAAACGGATAGAACGATGATGAGAATGAGGGCGATGAGGATGCCGAGAACTATAAGCTTTATCTTCATGTTCTGGAGCCACATGTTCCTTCTCAGCTTCGTGCCCTGTTGCCTGAAGTCTTGTGCCTAACAAAGGAAAATTTTTGATGTTTTTGTGTTTATGTTCACTTGATAGGAACAAGGAAATGCGGCCCGAGAGGCATGAAGAAAAGCCAAGTTGACGTAAAACCTTGAGCTTTTATTCTTTTAGCTTACCTGAGATCGGAGATTTTCCGTCTTGTCTACCAGAATCTCGATTTTTTCCCCACGATCAAGAACCTGAAACATATTAATAAAGCACAACAAATTTGAACCCTTGTTTTCCATCAAAATCATCGTCATATTCCAACAAAGAATGCAGCAGACTAGACAGGTGTAAAACATGAATGGTGACATGCCTTCTCAATGTTCTCCATCATAACTCCTTTCACCTCAGAAACCTGAGCTTTGACTTTAGCCAACTTGTTAATCTCGTCCGGGTGATCCACACAGTATTGCATTTGCTCCTTCATCTTAGACCTGAACCAAGCAGTACACCGAAAAATATCAACACCAGCTACTGGTTGTGCCAGAGAAAAAATTCACAGAACACAAGAAAAATTACGCGAATTCCTTGTTCAGACTGTTTGCAGTTGCGGTATCAGCTTTTCCCCCACCATATCTTTTGGTAAACTCTTCCTTGACTCGCTCAAGAAAGGCAATTGGAAGCTGTCGACCGACAGACTCAACCGCAACAACACAGTAAGCTACAATATTGAACAGAGTGTTTAGTCATACATCGATCAATCGGAAAAAATGACCAATAAGATGCAAAATGATGACGTTGATACAAAGGCAACACTCAAGGATATGACAGGAACTGTGTCTAAGCAAATCTTTATGAGATAGTAGCAAAGGTATGACCTTTCTTAAAAGCTTCACAAGAGTATTGAATTATACCATACCAAACAAATATCGGTGACATCTCACCATAACTCAGGACGGAGTGGGTTTACTGGTAAAATACATTAAAGTTAAATCCAAATCCAAACCCGGTAAGAAACAGAGAAGCAAATAACTCAAACTCTCCAATCGAAAACACTCAGAAAGAAGCACTTTGAGCAAATAAGACAACAGAAGACCCAACTCCATGATTGTCCCCTCTTCGCCAAACACAAGAGCAGCTAACCCCAACAGATCCGACAAGAGTAAAGCCACATCAAGAACAAAAAACGACACCCACAAACCACCACCGTATCTATGCTGGACATCAATTGGTGAAACCCATGCACAGAGTAATAGCAATATCAATCATTTAAAAAGACAATACCAGATCACGTCTACTGCAGCAACTTAGGCAAATGAGTATCAACATGCCCAAAAGCAAACCCACGAAATCAGCACAGAGAGAGAGAGAGAGGACGATACTGAAGCCGTCATCGACGAGGTAATTGAAGGTGTGGCCGTCACAGTTGTAAGTGAACTTGTTGTTGGAGGAAGGGAGCTTCTGAAGACACTGCGCCGCTATACTGGTGAAGTTTCCGGTGAACTCCGTGTACTCCGCCAAAATCACCGTGCCTCGAGCCACGAAACTGTAGATCAGCGACTGCTGCCCCATCGAATTCCAAGATCAACAACAAAAATCCTAAACCCTAGCTGAAGACGAAGAACACAAATCTGGAGTAAATATTTTCTATGTTCGAAATCGAAGGGACCGTAGATGAACAGAGAGGAGAGGAGATTCGATTTTACTGTGTTTAAAAGAGTGGAAATTTCGTTGTCGCTTATATGGCAAGCGACGTTGCTTTTTGGCTGTTGAATTGTCAAATTTACCTCAAAAATCGTGAGAAATAACGAAAGTGCCACGACGTCTCAAAGTATGCCAAAAATGTTTGAATTTTGAATAATTTACTTGTAATGTACCTCTAAACTTTTTCTGTTTTTTAACCTTTTTTTGTTTTACCCTTTAGTTTTGGATTCACCGTATTCGTCCAACAAATTTTATATATTTATTACAATTCCGATTCGAATTATTAGAATACCCTAGTATTTGGATAGATTTTGGAGGTCGTTAAAGTTTTAGATACATACATACATACATACATACACATATACATATTTTTTTTTTACTTTTCCCATGTTTTTTTTGGTATTATAATAACCATAAAACTATTTCATATCATATTATATGGTATTACAGAAATAAAATAGAAACGGCTAGAGTGTTGTTTACTTGTAAAAAGAACAATTTGGTCACCCGTCCAATGAAGAGCGGAAATTCCCTTTTCTTCACCAAATTAACACCTTCATAATAAAGCGCATATATATATATATATAAATGAAAGAAATGTTTTTTTCATGAAGTAAAACATGTGTGTATATTACTCAAAACAATCACACCACCAAACAAAAATTGTTCACTCCTCTTCCAACAGACCGGCCATTGGAACTTTACCAATGATTTCCTCTTCGTCTCCTTCTCCTTCATCCATGGCCGATCCCTTGTTTTTCACGTAATCCACTTTGAAATCATAGTCGTCGTCATCCATGAGATCACCTGAACTTTTGCTCCCCTTCTTCCTCCTCTTCTTCTCCGCCCTCTTCATTTTCGTATTCAGCATTCCTTCCGACGAGTACAGCGTCTCGTTCTGCTTCCTCGTCTCGGACTTCCCCTTGGATTTCCCTGCATTGTCTTCTTCTGTTCCCATTGACTCATCTCCATCACCCTCAACCATAACTTCTCCGCTCCCACCGCCATGGCCTCGTTCTTGGGTCTGAGCCTGAGATCCATCCTGTGGTTCAGTCATAACATAATGAAGATTCATAATATTGGATTCAAGATTCTTAAGCTCTGTGGTTTAGGTGAACAAGAAACCGATAAAATCCGCAAACCTCGAGCATTGTTTCGTCGAATGTGAGAGGGCAACTCGGAGAAACTTCGACAGGGTTGAAGTCATTAACTGTCTTGAGACTCCCGATGAACGAGGATTCCCCGTTGTAGACCTCGTCGATGTTGAACTCCTTCCCCATTTCCGTAACAATCTTTGCCTCTGCATGTTCTCCTTCATCCCTCTTTGGCGGCATTGTATAATACGGGATTTTACCTATACAGACAGATTCATATAAACAACGATGGCTTAAACAAGGATTTGCTGCGAGTTCTTTGCAGCCGAGGAGATTTAACCGAAAAATGAATAAGCATATACCCTCATTCCAGTCATGCAAAACGATCCTAGCAGCAGCTCCAATATCCACAAGACCACCCTTCTTGAGCTTACCCCTTACAGTGGCGACTTTGTAGAGAAAATCATCAACTGAATCGAAGCCCGGGATTTTATACAGAGTCACAAGCATATTTTCCGGACAAAGCTTGAGAATTTCCCTCACTAAGTTATTACCCACCCAGAAAAAAAATAATCACGGATTAGCTTGCAGAACATACAACGATTAACAAAATGAAACATGCTAAGTGATATCTGGTTCATTCCGGTTACCTGGACTAACTGGATCATCCAACTTCTCGATCCTTTTGCAATTTCGGAGAGCTATAGAAGCATCAGTTCCCGAAGATTTGAGCATAACAACACCAGGACAATCCAACAACTTCACGTTTTTGTCCAACTGGACTTCTTGCAATGACCTAGTCAGTCCTGGAGTAGACCCAACATTGACAACATGGGATCTCTTCAAGCTGTTAATCAGACTACTCTTCCCGACATTAGGCAGTCCAATAATACCGACTGTAATAGATTTCTTGAGCTGCCAAAGATCAGTAAAAGCGATTCAATTTCTCATAATATGGTATAATAACATAATTCAAGGCAGAAGCTCAAATAAAGAACTGAATAAATATTGTTATAGACACTCAAATGGTAAATTATCAAAACCAACCTCATGACTCCTTGAGTAATTTTTCAGCAATTTGATTAGAGTTTCAGCCCCAAGACAATCACTTGTTTGCAGAAGATTGCTTGGTTTTGCTGCCTTAGATGATTTCCAGCCTAAATTTGCTCTCTGTTCCTGGGTGCTACACTTGAAGGCAACAGCTGGCAATTCCTCCCTAAGATATTTCAGCCATTTCTCAACAGCCTCCCGGGGAACAAGATCTAAACAAGAGAATTCATTACAACGAGCAAGTTAATCACTCCCTCTCCAAAAAAAAAACATGGAATTTCTCTATGTCCATCAGGGTAAGTATACATTACCAATCTTGTTCAACAGCAAGACAAGGTGCTTATTAGGACCAGATTGCATCACCATCTTCTCCATGTCAACGCACCGAGTACCGAGGGGATCACGGGCATCAAGAACTTCCAAAATGACATCAGATAGTTCGATGACTTTAACAAGCTCCTTGTAGAAAGCCCTGTCCGAATTATCTGCATAGCAATAAAAATCAGGTTAAGGAAAAAGCAGATTGTAAGAACAAACATCACAACACTCATTCACCACAAACTCACCCCGAACGGTCACGACTCTAGCAAAGTCGGCCGTGCTATTTCCCTCTCCAAATCCTTCTTCTTCCATCTTGGTATTATCATCCTCGAGCAAACCAAGTTTCCTCTTTTGGGCCTGAGTAGATGCACAAAGAGAGATAAGATAAAACCTACACTGCATAATACTCCACAAACGAAAAAGTAAAACTCCATCCAAGCAGAAAGATTTTACAATGAAGCACTAAAGCAGGATAATCAATCAAAGGTACTTTCATTTCATGAAGCCCTAATCTCAAACATAAAAAATCATGAAGGAATCATGAAGGAAACCCGATCATGAACTCGACCAGGTAAAGACAAGAGCATCAAAGTGAAGAACAGAAGATACCCTTTCTTTGCGAGCGGCTTTCTTCTGCTCAAGCTCCTCGAGAGCACGAGCACGACGGGCTTCAAGGGCCTTGAGCTCCTGTTCCTTGAAAGGCCAGTCATTGGGGATACCTGGGTCCTTCTCGACCTTCTGCTTGCGATTAATCCCTAGCTTCTTAGCTTCCTTCGCTTTCTTCTTGTGATGTTCCTTCACCTTCCTAAGGACCTTGTACTTCTGCTTCAGCGTCACCCTCTTACTCTTGCTCTCTGCAAAAAATCGCCGACAGCAAGCAACCAGTGAATTTCCAAAAAAAAATATATCATACAATTCAACCGTAGAAAAGAAATTCGATTAAATGGTTTTCCCTTACTTTTGCTCCTCTTCACCAGAAGAGCGGAGGAAAAACGGAAAGAGACGGGATTTAGAGGAACAGAGTTCAGAAAAGTGGGAAAGAGGAAAGGAGACAGCAATTGGAGGACTAGGGTTTGGAAAAATCACTCAAATGAACCATTTGATCGCATCTTTTTCACCTATACACCACCAAAAACATAACACATTTTTTTCTCCGTAAAAAGACGAAATTACCCTTAATGAATCACGATATTTATCCGTTCGAAAACAACTTCGTTATTACGACTTCGTAATTAATTCTAAATATAGTTATAAAAAGGTGGCAAAAAAAATTATCCGTCGTATTTTAATTGTATATCAGTTATATGTTAATCGCAAAAAGGTTGCAAAAAATAAAACGAAAAGGGTATTTTGGATTTTTTTCAATCGAAAAGTGGGTTAAAATTGAAATTTTTTTTTTTTCTTGGTGATGTACCATGAAATTGCTGCGACCAATTGGGTTATTAGGGTTAAAACCCCCCTAGGGTTTTGCGGCAGAAGACAAAATATTTTAAAAATATAGAAAAAGGGAATGATGCGACGAAGGATCGAACTGCAGCTCGCAAACTAACTCGGATGGTTCCGAATTACGAGAACTACGCCCTAGCCAACTGCGCACCAACCCGATGGCAATTTTTCTTGGATATACGGCAAAACTTTTGCAGATAATAACAAAATAAAATAGTAAAAAATAAAAAATTATTGGGGTGAGAGAGGATCGAACTCTCGACCTCAGGATCACTCAGAAGCTATGAGACCTACGCGCTAGCCAACTGCGCCACCACCCCGATGCTGTTAAGAAGAAAATATGACTTAATAGCTTCTGACACATAGTCAAACAGAATCCTTCGGGTACGCACAACCCCAATCCTCTTCTTTTCTTCGTTTGTTCTTCAAACGCGAAAATTCCTACTCTCCTGAAGCTTTTGGTGATATTTTGAGGCTTGTTTGCTAGGTTTTCGAGGTAATCTATGCGATTCTCATCTGTTTGACCTCTCGGTAAGCCAAGCTTCAACACATGGATCCCAATGTAGATTGATTTTGAAACATTTTGCGCTAGGAAATGGCGGAATTGAATATCTGTTATTAGGATTTTCTTTGTTTTGAGCCACTCTGGAATTCGCTTCTTTTGCCACTGCTGTCGTTGCACTAAACAGGGATTCGAACCTAAGAATCTTTGTCGTACTCGTAGATACGGACATAGTACTGCCGAGTAGATGCTTGTATTGGTTTTCGAATTGAATTTGTGCTTACGGTGGTGTAGGGATTTGGCTTGTGAGCTTATCTCCTCAAGTTTCAAAGGGCTTTCGTTTCATGTGCGTACTAGGTTCGGCATGTTGTAGTCGTGGCTTCAGACATTTTACCAATGGCTGCACATACAGCGGCTCCATTATCGCTCATGCAGCCGCGGATGCAGGGAGTTCATTTTAGTAAAAGAAGCTACATTTCCAGGAGCCCATTTATAAAAATTGCAGAAAGGTTGATTCTTAATACCTTTTCTTTTTCTTATTCGTTTGGTTCAGATCTCTTTGTTGTTGAATTAGACACGGCATGTACTCTTAGTTCTTCTCTTACGTTCTTACTTGTTGATTTGACACACTTTTGTCGTCCTTGACCATTTGAATTGGATGAGAGTGATGGCATTGTATTCTTACAGAAGGGTGTATCACATTACACATGTAGAATTACTTGCTGCTGTCCTTGTGTTAATCCTGCTTGTATATTCCTCTCCATCTGTAGGAAGCTGTTAGGGAGTTGCAAAATCAGATTGTGCCATTCACAGGAATTTTGCAGCCTTAGTTCTCGTAGTTTGCTGAATCTTGAAGCATATTTAACTCTAGGAGAGTCTTCCTGTAAGGGTACTTGCTTGGCGTCTTTGGCAGATTTTGATGGTGCCGCAGCTTCTGAATGGGTCCCTATAGGTGACCATGTTCTTCTCATGACCAGTATATTCCTTACATATATGGCTGGAGTGATTCCTGTTCAAAATTCTGGTTATTCTCCCAAAAATAACATCTTGGAGGAGAACCCGGATTTTGGAACTTCACCATCTTCTGGTAGGTAAGAGTAATCATTTCAAAGATACTGAATGATAGTGATGTCTTTGTTCCATGTCACTATATACTGCTATAAAATGTCTATACAGGAGGAAACTGCTGTTTCATTGACATGGCCCTTTCCTTCTATAAACTGATCTAGGGATAAGGATTTTGGAGGTGATTTGAAGTCTGTGTGGGATGTAGTGAAGAGAAAGCTTTTAGATTCTTTAGATGCCATCAAACATGAAAGTAAACTTGGAAGTAATATCCTCAATGCTAAGCATCCCCAAGGAAAGCCCCCATTGAGCTTGTATGCAATCTCTGATGGTCCTCGGTTAAATTTGCTCTGGGCATGTTTTCAACATCTCGAGGAAGAGGCAAGATTTTCTCTCGCTCCTTTTTCTCTTTCACTTTGCACACATTTTTTACATGAAGTTTCAATAAACGTTCATTCTAGTTCAGTAGATACTAGTATTGTCTAAGTTTGATTGATAATCAACAAAGGCAGCATAGAGGATTTCCAGATAGTGGCAAGTTTGAACGAATTATGGTCAAGTAATAGTATCGATATTTTCTTCAGATGGATTCCAGCTTGTCTCACAATGTTTAAAGGGATATTATTGTGAGGAAAATCCTCAAGATGTCTCATACTAGTTGAATCAGATTATTTGCGGCAAGAATCTAATAACTAGTTGAACCACTAGAAACACTTTGAGTGCGTTCACTTACTGCAATTTCCAATCCCAGTATTCAGAACTGATGGAATATGTTTTTATTTCAGGCAAACAAGATCTCTGACACAATCAACATGGATGACTGGATGATTGATTTTGCTTATGTTGTCCGCAAAGCATGTCAAGCAGCAGGCACGTCTTGGCTACAGAGGGAGCTGCATCAAGAAGACAACGATTCTGACAAGGTTGGTTGATATCTTGAAATCTTCAGTAACTACTAGAATAGATTATTATAATTTTGGTTATTTCGACGTAAGATCTAGAAAATGAACACCAGGCTATATCCTGCAATGTGCAGGCAATCACGCCATTGCTGATCAGAAAGTTGAACGAAGAGGACACTGTTTTGGACAAAATAAGAAAATCAGGCAAGGAAGATTTGTACAGAGAATTCTTATATTTTCATATATTCGGGTCTCTCGGGAAAGAGAGCTGCTATGACTCTAGCTTGTTTCGTGCACATGGAGTTACCATTTTGGAAGATTTCATGATAACTTTAGCTGACGGGATCTCCAGCATCTATCTAGAGCTTATCTCTGTAGATGGAAGCTTATCAAATGAAACGAATTCGGGAGGATTAGAAATCTGTAATCTTTCCAGCCGGGCACTTCAAAAACTGCGTAACGAGGTAAAAAACTGTGTATAGCTTGTATTAATCCACCATAAGCTAACTGACAAAAGATCTCATCTTCATTAACAGGTAGCCTTGTACCAGTGGTTGCATCAGAATCTGGAGGCAGTTGTGTCCATGTACGAAGATCGGTTTGACCTCTACGTCCTTCAAACTCAGGTCATCAGCGAAAAAAACACGGACAGAGTTCAGACAGGAAGCCTTAATTGGTGGAGAAAGCTTACAACAGGACAAACTAAAGCTGCATCTTCATCGCCAACCGTACGATACTCCATAATCAGCGATTTCTCTTTGCCCGTGAAGCGAACCAAGGAGCTAAAGGCTCTGTCGGGATGGTAAAATCTTTTCTTCCATTGCCTCGAAAACATTAAAAAAAACGAAGAACCAACTGGAAAATCAATGGAATGTGTGGGTTTTTTTAATTGCAGGAGGTACTACTTCAGTCTGTTCCTGGAGTTATCAGACATTAGCATGCCGATAATAAGAATCGGATTGGAGAAATTTAGTAGCATTGTATCGTTCTTCCTCGTCACATTGATCGGTAGGTCGGTCGGGCTCATCTTCACCGGGATTAGGCAATCTCTCCGGTGGAAGTGAATTCCATGACAGTGATAAGTGTTTTGTCTCCTGCCTTTTGATTCTTTCTTCTCCTTCTTTTGGTTAGTAAGAGGTATGATAGTGAAGCATGATTGATATGTTTTTTTCCCCTTGACTCCATTGTTTAAAAACCTTCACTTGCCTCCATTGTCTTGCCGCAAGGTCTCCCATCCCATTTCTTTAGCGCGAGAATAAATTTACCATGTTCGTGGAAATGTCTAGTTCAGATTATTACCATATTTTCTTGCAGATGTGTGTAAGGGTGAGATTAAAAAAAAAAAAGGAAGAAAAAATATTAAGGAAAATTCTAAAAAAAACACTAAACATTTCACAAAAAATACCTAAATTTTTATTATTTTTTTTTTAAAAAAATAAAATTTTAAATTGTTTAAAATAATATCTAAACCATTCAATTAATGTCACTTTAAACGGCATGCAGAAGTGCAAATATGGCGTAAAAAAAATTTTACGCCATTGCTTAATTTGTTATTCGTCGAATATTTCAAATATTATTTTAAAAAATTTTAAAAATTTAGTATCTTTTATTAAAAAAAATTCAATCAAAATTGAAATTACAGTTTTTTTTTGGATTTTCTCAAAATATTATTATTGTCATAATTTAAAAGTAGGAATTTTTTGCCCAAGCGCGCAAGATTAGCCCTAGCTCGATGCCTTTGCATGTAAATTTCGGCCCGTTTAGGCTCCAGCAGGCAAAACATTCTCTTTGGCCCACGAAATTAGCGTAACCATGACTCGACCCATACGTTCCTCCGCTCCAATCAAGGGTCAAGTCTATCTCCCTTGCCGGCGCCGGCGCTTAAACCCTTCTGAAAAATCTGAGTTTCCCCATAACTTGTCGCGCATTACAACTGAAAATTGTCCAAACCCAGGTTCGAGATGTTCATCAGATGTCGTCACTTGAAGAAAATTTCGCGGCTTTCTTCTCGGTTTGTCCCAGGTAGGTGGTATTTCATTTTCTTCTTCAATTGGCGGGTTTAAGGTTTCGAGTGATTTCATGGTTGTCGGAATATTTTGTGTGTTTCCATAGGGAATCCTTGCGACCGTTTCCGGCGATCCTTTACTGTGTCTGCCGCTTCTTTAGCTCCTTTGTCTGCTACAGATACAGTCATTGTCCCCAAGCCATTGCTCGGAGAAAATTTTTCTCGCGGGTAACTTCATTCGTGATCTTTGTTATTTTCGTTGTTTGTGTTCTGTTTGCAACTTCTATGATTTCCGGTTCCGTATTCATAATTGTTTTCTCTGTTCCGTAATTCCTGCGTTGTGCCGTTTGTATCTGTTCTAATTTGTATGGGGCGGTCTTCTTCAGGTTCTCAACAATACCTCAAGTATCACAAGCTTCTTCTCAACATGTTGATTTACTTTCCTACATTAAATCTGCCATTGATGAGCTTCAAGGTACTGAATTGTCGTCTGGATTCTGAAACTTGAGCTTCACCATTGTTTCTGATGTGTTGTCTTTGAAATTTCTCTTGTCTGTATAAAACAACTTTGAGATGTGAATTGGCAGGCCCTTCTCATTATTGGCTTAACCTAGATAAGGAAAATAAAAGGTTCTTCAATAGAAAAGCAACCTATCTAGTAGTGGCAGGGCAGTGGCTAAATGGAATTAGTGACTTGAACAGTGTGGTTGAGAATGTGAAGTTGCTTCAGCAGAGGTATAACGTACTTTCTCTGTTTTTCTAGGCTTCTAGCTTTCCAAACTATGATGGTTACACAAGAAATGGTATTGAGATATTGTTTTGTGCTGTTTTAGGTTTCCAGATGTCTATTTCGTGGGCATCAATTTCAGTAATCAAGCTCGAACTGTTGATGATAGATTCGAGTTATATAATTTGATTGTGAAGGAGTACCTTACGTTTCCTATGTTACTTTCTGAGAAAGAATTCCCTGAGGTAAATTGTTTCTCATAGAAAGTAGTCATTTTAATATGTAATGTATGACATGATACATAGATGCATACACACAAACATACATATTGTGCTTAATATCTAAAAGGTGCGATGCATTTTTATTTTAATAGGCCGCTGGGGAAGTATGCTACATCATATCCAGAGAATTTGAGAATCCTTTAATTTACCATGAGAAGGACCTTGATATTTCCGTCCTGAGCAGAGGTATGCTTATGTTACCATGAGATCAACCGGTGAGGAAGTACCTCCATTGACAATATTATTTTCATTGTTGACCTTTAGAAATATTCGTCCTGATGGAACAAAGCTAATATTTGGTGATTGAACCATCTTGTTTTCTTACATCAGATGTCATGTATCAGCTGTAAAATTGAAAGTCTTGATTTTTGTGCGCTTAATTTTGTGTTCTGATTTCTTCGTGTTATGCATCGTTGCAGCACTTGAAGAGTCCCTCGCACACGATAATGAGAAACCCAAGTCTGTCAAACTTTTCTCAAACACTTGGTCAAAACAGGCTGATAACATCAAAGAATCACATTTCTGTTCTCCTTTCCAGGACTTGCTTCTTTACTTTCCAGGTCCATTTTTCTTGTCCATTTCAAATCAATTTTCAAAGGATTTTACATTTGTATTATTGTGTAATGTTGTTGCAGAGAGTATTTTGAGGGATGGCTTTATAAGATTTTATATTATCATTCAATAATAGTTATTCTCAGAATCTGATAGTCCCTGCAACAGGCTGTATATCTGCAGACATAACTGGTGATCGTCTGTTCCTTTCCGACAGCAACCATCATCGAATTCTTATTTTAGATAGCAGTGGAAAGATTTTGGACAGTGTAAGTGAACTCAGCCGTGTCTGGAAAAGTACCAATGTGATTGATTTTTTTTCTTTTCAGCTTAATGTTTTGGAAAGACTAAAGAGCATCCGTAGAGACTATGCTCATTTGAAGCTACTTGTTAACTAAACAGAGCTGAAATTCAGACAATGTTTTTATGTCAGATTGGTTGTTGCCCAGGTTTTGAGGACGGAGAATTCGAATCTGCAAAGATGCTACGTCCTGCAGCTTCCCTTTATGATGAAGAGGAGGATTGCCTTTACATTGTAGATTCTGAGGTATGCTCTTTGGATTGCAAAACTGTGATCATCAATTGTGTCATCGTTGTTTCACATTAAGATTTATTGTCTTTTGTCTGTTTTTCCTTCTTTGAGAAAGAATCATGCCATTAGAAGAGCAGATATGGAGAGACGGGTCCTAGAAACAGTATACCCCAAACAGAGTGAGAGGAATAATAGCGGTATATGGTCTTGGGTCATGAATAAATTGGGTCTCAGAAAGGATGATGATACAACAGTTCCTGCTAATGCAAAATCAGATGAATTTGATGCTCACTCTCTGATATTTCCATGGCATATTCTGAAACATGATGATGACAGTCTTTTAGTTATCAATAAAAGGTAAAAGGACTGATATTTTTCGTTCTCTCTTAGTTTCCCTTGATCGACTGTTTTCTCTTTTAATCATTTTGGTCTTTCGCTTTTTTCAGCTTTCAGAAATTATGGATGATGAATTTAACATCAGGAGAGATTGAAGAAGTCGTGGAAGGTTACATTAACGATTTGAATCTTTATAGAATTTTATGGTTCCTGAGCTGCGTCGGTATCTGATCATCACTATCTAACGTTCTTTTTATCAAAATTTTAAGGGATTCCAAAGATTTTGGAGATCTGTGGGCAGTTGATCATGGAGAAGCTATCGCATTTGAAACATTTGCCCCCGGGTTGGCTGCAACAGCAAACTGAGGCTTTAAGCTCGTGCAAGGAGATTCCGGCTGCTGCATTCTTGTCTTCTTTCACAAACCTCGGAGATGATACAGTCATGGCAGATATCGGTACAGTTCAGACACTGCGGAACCTGTATTTTTTTACGATGCTTGTTTAATGGTTTCATTTCTATACCTTGACCAACCCATTCTTACTTCTACTTTTTGTGGCTTCTATTTCTTAAGCTGGTCAAAGGGTGTTGAAGCTAAACAGAAAATCCGGAGCGTGTTCTAGCATACAATTCTCAAACCTCGGGATCCTTGGGTTGCCCTACTGGTTGGCCATCCCACTGGAGAGAGTTTATGCTCTGTTAGTATTTTTCTCTGCTGCCATTTCATGTTATCCGGGCCCTAAATGCTTACATGCAGCATGTTTTCTCGTTCTTTAACGTAATAACGGATGACATGCTGTTTTGGACATAATATGACAGATCTAATGGAGCTCGGAAAGCAGCCTTTAGTCACACTCAACGTTTTCAGTTGTTGCCAGGTAATAATATAAGTTGACAAACCCGTAAGTTTCGCCGATATCCCGAAGATATGATTGATGTTCTGTCATGATGGGCGATAGAAAATCACTATTCTCGTCCAAGTTGACATCTAAAGATCATCGGGTCTGATATAAGCACTAAATTTGCTGCTTTTTGTTTTTACAGGTAAAGTTAAGGCACGGTTGAACATAGAGATTCCCGCGGGAACAGAGCTCGTTGAACCATTACAGGAAAGCTGCATATGGCGCCAGGCAAGAGGATCAGCAACTGATATGTCGGTTTCGGAAACTGCTGAGGAACCCTCTGAGAAGGTTCAGTTTCAGACAAATGCTTCCCCTCTTTCTACAAATCGGTAATGATTTGAAGTGGTTCAGAAGTTTTCTTCCTCGGAACTTTTGCAGGTCGGAGTCTCCCAACAGTGGTACGATGAACTCGACAACCTCGCCTTTCAGACACTCAATGATGAAGTAGCTGCAGAAGAAGAAAGTGATGATAAGGATAAACCTTCTGAGGTTAATTCGGATGAGAAACATGTCAACATCAATTGCATTGTGAATATAAGTCCTGGTACAAGCCAGGTATGCCTATTCTTTTTCTGAAGTGCTTTTCTATCATGATTTTCGGTTTACTCGAATCAAACTCTCTAGTCTTACGAGATATTACCCGATCTTGGATTTATTTTTGTCGGTAACCCGAATGATTTGAATCCGAGGTCTAAACTAACAAATCAAACTATCTCTAGTCTCGTTCTTCCCCTATTTTCGCCCAGCCATCGACTCCATTTCTACTAACAAATGCTCTTTCTACTCGGATTCAGCTTATTGTTTACGCCGCGCTGTACTTGCGGCTCACAAGGAGTAGCAACTCAGAAGACGCAAACCGGGAAGAACTCGCATCCAGAATAGCCAATATCATCGTTAACCAAGACAGGAACACGAAAAATATGGGCCGAGATGTGTTCATTAAACTCTTGTCCGAGTCTAGCGGAGACCTGAGAGACCTCGTCTTCATGAAGCCGGTGAGCGTCGCTATAAGCTTGGACTCGATGGATCACCCGAAAGCCGATAACTCGAGAGACATAATCTTGACAGACTCCTCCATTGAAGTACATGTCTCCCTGTGAAAACGTTGTCTTCTGCATATCTGTTGTTTGATTCTTTCCAGTGTAATAATGTATGTACTGGTGAAAACACAAGTTATAACTCCTGCAATGTTTTGTAATAGTGATCTTCTTGCAGGAACATGAAGTGGATGCCATTTACAAGGGATTATATTTTTTAATCTTGTTTTGTGTAGTTTCTTTATGGGATTAATGAGATATATATATTTATATACATGAGAATAAGTTGTCATAAATAAGACAAACAGACCACAAAGTTCTAATTTTTTTCTCGAACAGGACAAAAGTTCAAAATGATTAAAGTGATGAAACCGAAACATAGTTAAAACTACATATACAATTCTACAGAGTCACAGTACCTTTCAGAAATGCCCAAAATCAGCTGTTTCTGGGACCAAAAAAGAGCGGCGGATTGTTCTTCCGCAGCATATGGGCGCGTCTCTGAATTGGCTGCGGAAAATATAACATAGCATGCTCAATTCAATTGTCGAAAACAGATCCACCGTAAGCTCGTTTCCAACCGAACGAAGCAACGGGTTGAGAAATGCTTATATAACTTGATCTCTGATCTGGTGATACATTCTTGCAGGTATTCATTCTTCGATTTCTCAATCAACGAGCTCTGGATCCGCAGTTCCGTTTCATGTCAACTGTTTGCAGCACACCATCAGGCTTCGTCCCATATAACTTGCCCATGGTACCGCTCGGTCTATAGGTGACTTTGCTTCCGCAAATTTCGCTAACCCTCCTTAGTTTAGAGGCATTAGCATTAACGGGCGAAGAAGATTCAGATTCAGCGCTTCTCCTTCTGGCGTTCTTTTTCCGCAGATACTCCTCTTTTCTTGCAGCAGCCTGTGCCTCCTCCCGTTCTTTCTTAACCTTCTCGTAAGCATTATGAACAACAGCAGCAGCATGAGCTGCACTACTCGACCTCGAGAATTTCCAGGTGGTGTGGTCATCCGAACCGGGATTTTGATTTTGCTTCTGACTGCTGAAGCTCCAACGGGTTGATATACCTGGCGGAGGTCTTTCTACCGCTAAAAACAACCGGTGACAGTTAGGGCACAACATACCACGGTTAACATAAATCCTAGGGTACTCGTACTGCAACTTGCATCTAAGGCAGATAGTCCAGAAGGTATCCGGTTTTGAATCTTTCAATGGACCTGGTACTGCTGTAGAACTGGCCTGTTTTGCAGGAAATGGCGATGAAGTTGTTAGACCAGGTCGTCCCGTTTTTGGAGCTTGAGATGAACCGTTAGCGTTAATAGCAGTAGGAACGGGCTTATGCACATTATTCTTCGGAGTCTTCACATTCGTACTCTTGGTGAAATTGCCGAAGCCGCTGTTAGCAGATGAAACTGAAACCTTTTGATAAACTGTCCATAAACTCCTCCTACGGTCATAAGCTGCTCTCTTCTCCTTGTCTGACAGAAGCTTCCAAGCTTCGGAAACATGCTTGAATGCTCCTTCGGCTCCAATAGATTTGTTCTTATCAGGGTGAAGCACTAGGGCAAGCTTCCTGTACTTTCTCTTCAAAGATTCATAATCATCCCGTTGACTCGCACCCAGTATCCCATACCAATCTGATTCCCCATTCACTTTGTTTTCCACAGCAGTATACACATCGAAAGTTGCCAACATCTGGGAAACGCCTTCGATCTCGGGATACAGATTTTGAGCTTTCAAAGCAAATTTCTTGGCCCCAGCAATGTCCTTTGCTATGAACTTCTTCTCAGAAATTTCTTTCGCCCTCATCGCCTCGTCTTTGTTGCATTCCATTTCTTTCGCTATTTGTACCATTCAAATAAATCACCTTCTGAAAAACTTCCTAAACCCCAACGAGATTCTCCACGATTTCAGCGCAACCCAAATCTCAGCTCCAGCTCCTGGTTATTAGAAAAATTTTGAAAATTGAACATAAACATGAACAAATGCCTTCGATTCAACAGTGTCATTTAAAAAATAAGAGTAGAGTTACTACGGTCATATGGAATCGAACCGAACAAAATCGCCAGAGACAAGATCAGTATTGCAGAAAGGAAAAAAAACCATTGACGACTCCATGTACATTCATTCAAAGTCAAACAAAGTATTCATTTTCACCCCGGCATTACTCTAGATAGATGAATCGCAGAACAAAAGTCCAGAACATTCCCGAAAAACAGACGAATGAGAACAGCTCAGCGATCAGACAGAACCAAACCTCGTTCCAGGATTCCATCAAACCCCAAATCAATCGGACACAAATCCTTAGGATTCGACGACCAACCGCGAAGAGGAAGAGTAAATAGAGAGGAAGGCTTACCCGCACGCGAAGAAGCTTAAAGTTCCACTGAGATGGTCCGTAGCCGCAGAGCCACCATTAGAGACGCTTCGCGGCTCTTCCGCTTTAGCCCTCTTTTCT